GTTGATTTGATTGGTAAAAAAAAGTAATTAGTTAAAGGGTACGGCCGTGATCTACAAAATTTTGGCCCGCATTACATATTGTTTACATAATTTTTGGCCGGAATTAACTTGTGGAGTAATTGGTTAGACACAATTCTAACATAGCAGTAGTTTTTAAAATAACATGCGTATCAATTGACTGTCTAGTGTCTAACAAAGAATTATAATTTAATGACCCAAAACAAGGTCTAATAAACAAAATTGGCCCATATGTATAGAAACAACAGACTCTAATGCTGGTAATTATAAATTTATTTTTAAAAAAAATATAGGTTTCCCGAAACTGGATTGGCGGTGATCTACACAACAGAGACCTTCAGCTATACCATATTCGTTCCTAACCAAGAATACAGTTTCTAATTTAGCTAAATTAATTCTTAGCATCCTGGGAATTGTGTGCCTCAAAATAACGTCTTGGGCTTATTTCGCGCAAGTATGGTATAATATAACGGGTATAAATTTTTTTGTTGGATTTTTTAAGCTGATCTTTAATCAGTGCTATACGACATCTGGAATATTTGCACATTTAAAATTACTACGTATCGAAGATTCTATATATTATGAAATTAGTACGTAACATATTATTCACACAAATATATAATAATAAATATGCATATATATTATTGATTAGCAACCACAAATTAAATTTTATTACTCTCAGGTTTACTGTTTTTATGAGCTGCTTCTACAAGTTTTTTTAAAACGTCTTTCACGTATTTCAGCCGATTTTTTTCTGTTGCATGATCACCTTTTAATATCTCGGAAATTGTATGTGTGTTAATTCCACGTGCTTCGTCAATATATGTTATTACCCGACCTTCTTCTGAAAGTATGATCTTCTCATGATCAAAGAAATTTACCTTGAATAATATAGCATAATATATATTTATATTATATAGAATATCTTGAAAATTACTTGTGAAACAATAAATATTACAAACCTGCACTAAGCGGTTGCTTAACCTAAAAAGAACAGCATGAGGTGTTCGTTTATATTTTGTCAAGAATTCCATGTTATTGGTTCGATTGTTGTCGACAAATGTGTAAGTGGTGCTTATTTTTGGAAGAACTTCATTCATATAATTGCGGAAATTCTGTAGCAAATAAAGCTTTTTACTCAAATCTTTCGGGTAATCATTTACAGTGAAGGGTTCACGCGTTGGAACTATATAATTTGCTGAGGTTTTATTGTTATATATATACTCGCAATTGCTAATTAGATAAATACATTTAAATTAGTAATTATAAAAAAAAGACTAGATTTTGTTTATAAATAAAGATCACATACTGTCCATTTGGCGACATTATCAATGTAGTTTTATCATTGAAATTCACGCCAACAGAACCGTCTGTCAACTGATATCCAAGTCCATACTTGTTAGTATAATCCATCCATTTACTAATAAACACGAGTGGTGTCGTAGGTTGTTCTAATAATGAATGTTTATATTAGAATTAACAAAAAAAATCGGCTGAAATACGTGAAAGACGTTTTAAAAAAACTTGTAGAAGCAGCTCATAAAAACAGTAAACCT